TCCGGGACACCCCGACAGGACAGACCAGCATGGCAGCTGCTGCAGGTGCAGTCCCGGGGTGCACAGGTGGCCTCAGCGCTGTCCCGGGGCCCGCTGGCCTTCCTGGGAGCACTGTGAGCACCCCCCAACCCCCAGCCCCCGCCTGCCCTGCACCTGGTTGCCTCTTACAGATAGTGTAGAAAGATCATGAAAAGCCTGAAAAAGCCGCCAAGGGCTCCAGGACTCTCCTTTACCAGTCTACCCGGGTCATAGAGAACCTGCTTCATGCCCTGCCGGCAACCGCAGTTTGGTTTTATAAAATGTTGAGATCAGTGGGCTTTTCTCAGAGGCTGAAACGGAGTTTACATGAGACAAGCCTGTGACAGAAAGTTTGTTTTCACCCGGCATGTGTTAACTTTCTGCACTGGGTTAACACACATACCTTCAACTCCGCATCCCTGCTAGGCAGTTTGTATCTGAGAAAGGCTAGAATTTAGAGTAAAGATTTTATCTTAAGGAAATTCCTGTTTGGTTGGACTTGAGTGAGCTACCCAGGTGGAAGGAGGACTCCAGGCTTTCAGGGTGATTCCCAGGGATAGATGGCTGATAGATGGGATGAGTAGGTCTCTGATCTGCTGACTTGCTTCCTCCAGCCCTTTTCTTTTGTCCTAAACTTGATTTTCTTTTACAAGATGTATTTACTGTCCTACCCAGCATTACCTATAGCTGAGTAACATTTACAGTGGTTGACTGCAGACTATGCAAGTAATTTTGACTAAATGTAGAACAGTGGAAATATAGATACGTATTAGCTTTGGAATTAGAAGAGAAACTGAGAGCTAGCTAATCAGTTGTGATGAAGAATCTGAACTAATAAGTACTTTGCAGTGAAGCCCTGTTTCGATTCTGTGTCACAGGGGCTGGAGGTAAACCTATTTTTGACTGAATTACCGTATTACATTTGTTTGGATGCCTAATTAAATTGTGTTGGCATATTATCTGCTTTAAACCTGTTTAGCATTTTATGGTCATATAGGTATCTTTGGCAGTGCCAGAATTGTCTGTTCCTAAGTTAGGATTGGTTTTTAACTCAGTGAAACTTGCTTAAAAATTTCTTTCCTGTCCTTGTTCTTTTTCTTTGTTTAGATTTATTTATTTATGCATAGAAGAACTGGTGTGCAGTCCAGAGGTATGGGGTGGGGGGTGAGAGGATTCACCAGAGGCAGAGGGGAGAGCAGAACAGGCAACTCTACTGAAATACACTGCTGAGGGGTGCAATAGGCAAAGACAGGAGAGGTTGCTGTGCTATGTGGGTCACCTCCCCGGCCAGAGATTGTGCTGAGACTTAACCCCTAAGCCACCAGGGAGGCCCTGACTAGGGTAGTTACTGAGGTACTTTGGAATTATCAGATCCCAAGAATCCTAAAGAAATGGCAAGGAAAGGCCTGCTGTGCCATGTGGGTCACCTCCCTGGCCAGGGATCGAACTCATGCGGCAGTGGCTGCCTATAGCTTCTTAGTGCTTCTTTAATCCATTGCACCACCAGGCCACCTCCCACCCTCCCCACCCCCCTTGCTTTCTATGTGATAATTTATACTCTAATCTCACAAGGTAAGGTGAGTTTGCTTGTGAAACAAAAACTTTTGTGTAGTAAAAACAGGAAGATTTAAACCAAAGTTTAAACTAACAACTGTTAGTTTTTATTTGTCAGACTCATCTTACATCAGTTCTGAATTATTGGTTTTCCTCTCTGAATTATAAATTGTATTTTTATTAGGTGTTTAAAATCAAATAGGTAGCAAATAATGATACTTTGTAAAAGTCAGAAACCCTAGTGCTGTGACACAAGTACAGCTGCATTTGGTAGGTTGTATTATACTTTTGCTGAATCTTTTTCCTTTTTTTCTTTTTTTTTTTTGGAATGCAGCAAAAGATAATGGAAACATGGAACTTGAAAATAAAAAATTAGAAAAGGAGAGTAAAAATGAACAAGAGAGAGAAAAAAAGGATGCCATGACTAAAGAAATTGCTCCCACAAATTCAGCTTCTCAGATAACTGTGCGAGGACTCAGCAATTTGGGAAACACATGTTTCTTCAACGCCGTCATGCAGGTGCCAGCGCTGCTGCTTCCCCTTTTCAAAATCTGGTCTTCTTCCTCAGAGGATAATTTTGCTCGTTTGTTACTTACGGCTGTATTCCCCCCCACGGAGTCATTTGTTTTAATGTTTTCAAAGAAAATTCAAGGAAATGTTTCCTTCACATGACACCGGGGGACAGGGGGCCCCACACAAATACAACCCCTGCCCGCATAGGATGTGAACTTGCTTTGGGGCCACACACCTTATCCTCACACGTCACACGTCACACAAGGCCTGCGTACACGGAGTGGTCAGTGGTGATGAGGGAACACAGAGGTGCTGGTGGGGAGCTCTTCTGAAGTAATTCATGGGCTCAGAACTGAATTGTTGCTGAGCCTCATGGGGTGGGGAGTCAAACAGAGTGACTTGTTTCCAGAGATAGATACACTAAAGATTGCAGTGTTGGATGTGATTTTCTGTTTTGATAAAAATAGACATTAAGAAGTTTCTGAATGAGCTGATTTCCGCTTAAATAATTTTCCTTTCTTATTCTACATTTTAGAATTTGTCGCAAACACCAGTGCTCAGAGAACTACTAAAAGAAGTAAAAATGTCTGGAACAATTGTAAAAATTGAACCGCCTGATTTGGGATTAACAGTATGTACTTTAACATTTTTTTTTAATCAGTAATTTTCCCTGAATTTCCATATTCTAAATTATTTTAAGAACTTTCAGAGTGGGGAGGGGGTTTGTTGGTTTTGTTTAGGCTAACAAATTTAACATTGGTTGGTTAAGAGAAATTACAGTGGGTCTCCCCATTTATTGCTATGTTGTATAAGCTGTGTTGGAGGGTTTGACTTTCTCCTTGGGAGTATAGCTCATAATTGTGAAGCCCTATGTGGGTATTATTTTAATGTCATTTAAGGTGACTTTGCTGTGAACCCAAATTAAAATATTTTTATTACTTACATTTTGCTTGGGTTCTTTTGTTCTTCAGAAATAAACCCTAATAATCGAAAACTGTAGAACTGAATTCTTCATGAACTGGTCTGTGACCAGAAAGTTTCAAAATATCTTGAAATACATTTTAAGCTTTTAAATGGGATAGCTCTGTCAGGAGCACAGCGGTCTAGGTTGATGAGTTACATTTTGGTAAAAGTAAATGATCCCCAGGTTTGACTGAAGAAAGTAATTTTTATTCTTATATTCAGGAACCCTTAGAAATAAACCTTGAGCCGCCAGGCCCCCTTACTTTAGCCATGAGCCAGTTTCTTAATGAGATGCAAGAGACCAAAAAGGGGATCGTGACTCCTAAAGAACTCTTTTCTCAGGTCTGTAAAAAGTGAGTATCGGCTTTGATTGTGCTTTCAGTGCCTCAGAAAGAGGCTGTACCTGACACTGTACAGTGCTGTGAACCCATGTGACCTCCTCGCAAGAGGTGGGAGGGCTGTTCTTGGCACCTACAAAAGAAATAATAGCTTCAGAAATAACCCATATCTATATTAAGACATGGGATTAAAAATATAAAATGGGGAAAAAATATAAAATGGATTTAATGTGAAAATGAATCTGTTCAATGGTATCGTGAATTTGAACAGAATTTTGAGAAACTAGAATACTCTGAGAATTATTTTGGGTCCTAAGATTTTGAATACTCTTTTGTCATTTAGATGATTCATCATTGCTTTTCTTTCTCTCTTTTTTCCCTTTGTAGAGCAGTGCGGTTCAAAGGCTATCAGCAGCAAGACAGCCAGGAGCTGCTCCGCTATTTACTGGATGGGATGAGAGCAGAGGAGCTCCAAGTTAGCAAACTTTCGCTAGTGTATTCGATAGTCCCATCTTCATTAACTGTCATTTATGTTACGAGTTATTAGAGCAATGAAAACTAGCTTTTGAGACCATTGAATGTACAACTTTTTCTGTCTTCTCACCCAGTGTAATATCGTCATTAGAATGCAAAAGAGAATTAGAAATGGTTTTCCTTTTCATAATGCTGTTTTACTTAATGTTTATAAAATCATTGTTCTTTAAGGGTGCTACCATACTAACCTATACCCAGAGAGCTACAGAGTACTGGAAAATGTGTCTCCCAAAACAATTCCCAGTTGCAGTACACCCTTACAGTCCGTTCTGAGTATCATCTAACATAACTTTCTGAATTTGGGAAATTCAAAGACTCAGGGACCATCAGTTGTATTTAAAAGTGTTTGTAAATTGCCAAGTTAAAAAGTAATGCCTATGGGTGTGTGAATATAATTCAGAGCAGGAATACTATTGTGGTAACAACTTACCTTCATTTTCCTCATGTTTTATGTCGAGCACTCAGTAGTTTCCATGGTTTCCCATACTCATGCCTCACCTCCATTCCTGAGTAGGCGCTTTATCATTCTCAGTTCCCAGCTTCTGAAGTCAGGGGGTAGGGGGTATCAGTACCTAGTTCCAGGCCCCCCAGACTGGATGTTTGACCACTGGAGTCTATTGCCAAAATTCTCATCCACTCTATTTCCTAAGACATGATACTTCAGTGGTCTTGCCAGTGGAACTGGGCACATTCTGAATGTTTTGCTTTGAGTAGGTTAAAATCTTGAAATCATAAGATAGTGTCTTTATTCAAGGATTAGTCATTGTTTTATAAGTACAGTCCTTTTACTGCTTTAAGTTAATTTTGAAATGTGATTTTAGAAATACTAGTTTTTATTAGTAAGTTTGATCACCTCTTGATATACAACTCAAACAACTAAAATTTAATCATATTTTATATTTCTAGAGAGTGAGTAAAGGAATTCTTAAAGCATTTGGTAATTCTACTGAAAAATTGGATGAAGAACTAAAAAGTAAAGTTAAAGGTAATGTCTGAGTCAATATTTTTTAGTAAAGAGTTTATTTATTTATGCATACAGAAGTGGGGTACAGGCCAGAGATGCAGGGGTGGCGAGAGGATTCGTCAGAAACAGTGGGGAGCAAAACAGGCAGATCAATGAAGTACACTATTGAAAGGAGCAGTGGGCGGGTCAGGAGAGGTCTGCAACATGTAGATTACCTCCTGGGGCCGGGATTGAACTTGCACTGAAGCGGCCATGGCTTGGCTTAGCTTTGCAGTGCAGCGCTCCAACCCACTGCACCACCAGGGAGGGCCCCCATGTCTGACTGTTTGGACTGAACCACTGTTAAATTTCTCTGTACCTTAGGGCAAATTGCTCTTGCATGTATTTTGAATCTACAGTTGCTAACATAATTTCTATCACCACTGATTAAAAAAATTATTCAGTGCTGTGAAGGTGAATATTTTTGAAAGGTTTTATTGTGCTTGTTGGCACAGTTTCTCATAAAAATATGTTTCTGTATAAGTGTATATATCTGTATTTTCTTTAATAAGACTTATAGATTTCATGTATTTATTAGACAACTGGGTGACCAGTTAGTAAAATTATTTTGGGGGGCATGGAAAAGTAAATAGATTTTTTTTAAAATAGATTTATTTTTTATTTATCTTTGCATATAAGAACAGGGTGGAGGCGGTTGGGTGGGGGGGTGGTGCCTGGTGTGGGGCGGGGGAAGTGAAAGGATTCACCAGAGACAGTGTGGGGAGTGAAACAGGCACATCTACTGAAATACTGCTGAGGGGAGCAATGGGCAAGATAAGGTGGGGTCTGCCATGCCATGGGGGTCAGCTTCCTGGCTGGGGATCAAACTCGTGCTGCAGTGGCTGCCTAGAGTTTCATAGTGCTGAGACTTAACCCCTTGTGCTAACAGAGGCCCAACAGGAAGAGTTTATCTGAAACATTTCCCTAAGGATATTTGTTGTTTTCTTATTTTATATCGAATTCAGTCCTAAGAGTTCTTTCCAGGCAAGTACATGTGCACACTCTCAGTTCCTTGCTGAGAGCTAGATGTGAGCTAGATGTCATCCCACCTATTCACTGCTCCCTTTACTGGTGGAGGTATTGATGTGTAAAAAAAAAACCCTACTGCCTTGCAGCATTTAGTTCCATGCACAGATCTTGAATAAGAACTTTTTTTCTTTTTCACATGATGTGATTTTGTTAAACTGTGTGATACTTCCAAGTAGAGTCCAGGGTACTGCTGCTAACAGAAACCCAAAAGTCTGATAATTATGAGTAGAGAAAAGCAAGTCTATGGGAAATAAAATCTTAGGACTATATAGCTAAGTCGTTTTATCTTATTCCAGTCATGTAAGTAACGGATAAGCTTTTTTTCCCCTGATAGATTATGAAAAGAAAAAATCAGTACCAAGTTTCGTGGACCGCATCTTTGGTGGTGAACTAACAAGTACAATTATGTGTGATGAATGCAGAACTGTAAGTGGATGGTGCCTGACTGGCTTTAGTCATTATTGATGTAGTTTTATCAGTTGTTCCTTTCAAAAACAGGACTGTCCAGTTTCATAGTACATTCTTTGTTGGACCTTCCAGATATGCCTTGTTCTTTCCATTGCGGTCACATTAGCTTACAGGCTGTAGAGCTGCCAAGGGCACATTTTCTCACCTCATCACAGTCCTGTCTCCATCCCCTGCCAGTCAGTCGGCTCCCCTCACTCTGTCCTGGCCTCCCTTCCTTCTGGGAGCCAGCATTCTGCTCTCAGTCTAACAGTTTGGCTTTGTTTGCCTCTCTCTATACCCTACAAATGAGTGCAGTTATGGTATTTGTCGTTTTCATTCTGACTTATTTCCCTTAGTATCGTGCCCTCAAAGCCCATCCAGGTTGTTGCAAGTGGCAAGATTTCATCTTTTTTATTACTGAGTCTATGCCAGTATGTAAATATGCCACATATCCTTATCTTCTCATCTGTCGTTGCACACTTCGGTTGTTCCGGATCTTGGCTGTTGGGAATTGCACTGCAGTGAACATAGGGATGCATGCGTCACTTTGAGTTAGTGTTTGAAGAATTCTTTGAAGTTTATGTGACATTTATTTTTTCTGTCCACTAAAGGTACCAATTATTTTTGTGTGACATTTTGACCTAGATCCCTAACCCAAGTCTTCAATTAGAATTAGTATCTTCCTCATCAGATGACTTATTTATTATTTAAGGTGAATCTTTTACTTTCTTTTTTTTTTTGTTAAGGTCTCCTTGGTTCATGAATCTTTCCTTGATTTGTCTCTACCAGTTTTAGATGATCAGGTAAGACTATCGTATTTTATTCTAGTAGATTTTTTTACTGCTGTTGAGTTTCATTTTTTTTTTTTTAAAAGATTTATTTATTTATTTATTTATACAGAGCTGGGGTACAGGCCAGAGATGCGGAGGGTGAGAGGATTCACCAGAGACAGAGTGGGGAGCAGAACAGGCAGATGATCAAAGTACACTGCTGAGGGGAGCAGCGGGCGGGTCAGGAGAGGTCTGCCACGCCATGTGGATCTCCTCCGGGGCAGGCGGGGATCGAACTCATGCGGAAGTAGCTTTGGCTTCTTAGTGCTGTGCTTTAACCCGCTGCTCCACCAGGGAGGGCCCTGAGTTTCATTTTTTTAAGATTTATTTATTTATGCATACAAGAACTGGGGCGTAGAACTGGGGTGAAAGGATTCACCAGAGACAGAGTGGGGAGCAGAACAGGCAGATCAACTGAAATACACTGCCGAGGGGAGCAGTGAGCGGGTCAGGAAAGGTCTACTGTGCCATGTGGGTCAGCTCCCTGGCCAGGAATTGAACTCATGCTGCAGTGGCTGCAGATCACTTCATGGTGCTGTGCTTTTAACCTGTTGCACCACCAGGGAGGGCTCTATGTTGAATTTCATTGCTACCTTTTTTCTGAGATTGTACATTACTAGTCATGGAGAATTTTTTTCTTATTTGAGATAGAGAAATTATTGTTTTAGTTTTGAATAAAAATGAGTTACAATACTTAAAAAAACTGGTATATATAGAATCCTTCTTTTAAATTATTTTCCCTCTATTTTTATTTGAATGTAATTGACTAAAATTCTTTATAGTTCATTAACTTGATTGGTTTACAAAGAGGAAGTATTTTCTTCATATTAAAAGTCACTGCTTTTATTATTTGAGATGAACCACACATTCCTTGCAATCTAAAGTTCATAAATATTAAGTAGAGAGTATTTCCATTTTAAGACCCATTAATTTGGCTCCTTTCAAGTTGTAATGGGATAAAAGAGAATGTGTTACCAGTGTTGGATATATCACTACTCGACTTACTGTGAAATAGGGACCCCACTTAACTGTTTATAAAATTTCACTAAATTTGTTTTTTGTTTTTTTTCCAAACTTACTTACCTGTAAAAAAAGAAAAGAATAAAAAAGTATACCTGTTCTGTGACATGTGAAATAGTTACAAAAAGAAAGCAGATTTAGAAATGGTTGTGATTGCAGTGTGATACATGTCTAGTAAAATTCAGTCTTTCTATTACACATTGGTCTCAAGTTGCTTTTTCCAGTTTTTTTGTGTATATACTGGTTTTCTCCATAAGTGAACTCTGCTTTCTTTGTCTTGAAATGAATGAATTTTGTCCTGGATATATTTCCAGCCATTCTGGAAAAGAAATCTTGTGTAAAATAGCAATAGAAACATATTTAGAGAATAGGAGCTCTCTTTTCACCGAACAAAAGTTGTAAAGTTTTATTTTTGACAATATTCTTTCCATATCTTAAGAGTGGTAAGAAAAGTATAAATGACAAAAATCTGAAAAAGACAATGGAAGATGATGAAAGAGACAGTGAAGAGGAAAAAGATAATGACAGTTACATAAAAAAGAGAAATGATATGCCTTCAGGAACAAGTAAGCACTTACAGAAAAAAGCAAAGAAACAAGCCAAAAAGCAAGCCAAGGTAAGTAATTAGGAAGAAAACCACACTTCTCTTATTTATATTTTGAACTATGGATTGAAATTTAAGTGATATTGGTAGATGTGTCTATTTATACAGTGATTTCATTGGATAATTACAAAATTAGGCACATTTAGTATTCTCTGTGTTGGGAATTTCACTGAGTATATGAAAAGAAAGGTTGTGCTTGTTACAGATTTAATATTGCATTACTTGTGATAAATTTCAAAAATGTTTAAATTGATTTTTAGTAATTTTTTGTTAATACATTGACATTCAAAAATTAAAAGAAATACAAAGGCATATTTTGTCACCCTCTCACTCCTCTCATGTCACAGATAACTACAATCATTCACTTCTTAGGTGTCCTTTTGGAGTTTCTTTTGGAAAATACGATGAAATGCATATATTTATTGTGTTTTTCTCCTTTTCAAACACACTGTTATAAACCTTGTTTTTTGTTTGTTCCCACTTCATGAGATTCTTGGGGTTGTTTCCATTTTAGGAGCCAAAGCTCTAGTTTTTACCAGCTGTTTGTTTTACAGATGTTTTATAATTCATTTCACGATTTTTTTCCTCGTCTTTTGTTTATAATGACCAGTAGCTCTTACTCAGTTGTAGGGTGAATTGAGGGTCACATGTGGTGTTTTGCAAGTGTCACCGAGTTGCCCTCCACACAAGTTATACCAATGGTATCCTCACCAAGGACATGTAGACGTTTTCCTTCTTATCCTTGACAGCAATGCATCAGCAGAGTCTGATAGATGGAGATTATCTCAGTGCATTTTTATTTTTACTTATTTTAATATAAGTGGAGTTAAGTGTGTTTTCATGCTTATGAGCCATTTCTATTTTCTTTTCTTTGATTCACTGACACATTTTCTCTTTCCCCATTTTTCTTCCATGTGTAAATTTATCTCCAGCTTAGGTACATAAGAAAATGTGTCCTACAGCATGCTGCCCTTCTTCCTCCAGCTTTACAGTGAGCGTCACAGGAAATGTCCTTCTATATAAAGCCCAACTGCCCGCCCTTTCAGTCGCTAAGCATCCAGTGACAGAGATCTTCAGGAGTTCCTTGTTTTTTTTTGGTTTTTTTTGGGGCGGGGGAGCGAGTACTTAGGCTGCAGATGGTAAAGAAGGTGACTGGAGTAGGCAGAGGCCTTCCCTGTCTTCCTTGTCTTCCTTGTTTTCTTCCTAACTTTGACCCATTTGTTTCCTGGAATGTTCTCCTCCATTGCACTGCCCAAAGCAGTCTTGTGATTGTGCATTCTTGAGTTTTAGATTTGCTTTTTTTCTCCTCAGTGAAACTCTGATAATTATAACTAATGAGAACACATCCCTTCCTGTTTGGTGTGTGGTCAGTGTGTGATACTCAGCTGCTTGGGTATTAGCAGTCTAATTACTCTGTCGCTTGCTTTAGCTCCAAGAACATGTGTTGTCTATTTTTGTTAACAGAATTGTGACAGTTCTTGATGATTGATGATGGCTGAGTCCCGCTTCCAATTAAAGAACTTTTCATCAAAATTTGATCCCTAATAGTAAACAGCATCTAGCATCAGAATGCTGGGAGTGAGTTCTTCCTTATGATTTTTGACTGAAAAGTGAGAAAACCTGAAGTGTGTATAGACTCTTTTTCTGTAGTAAAATAAAATGTTTTATTCTTTATACACAGAACCAACGCAGGCAACAAAAAATTCAAGGAAAGGTACTTCATTTAAATGACATCTGTACCATTGACCATCCTGAAGATAATGACTGTGAGGCTGAAATGTCACTTCAGGGAGAAGAGGATATTAAATCCAACCATATTTCACAAGAGGAAGTTACACATAAGGAGTATTGTGTTAATCAAAATGATTTGAATGATCAAGAAAAAATGGTAGAAGGTGTAACTGACAATCAAAAATCCACAGAGGAAGAAGATATAAAAAATGTCAGCATGGAGAATGATGTAGAGGTTTTGTCATCCTCTCCCACAGAATGTACTAGAAACTTAAATGGTGCCTACCTGAAAGAAGGGAGCAATGGAGAAGTGGACATTTCTAGTGGTTTCCAAAACCTTAACTTGAATGCTGCTCTTCAACCTGAAGAAATAAATATTGAGATTGTGAATGACAGTCATGCTCCTGGAACCAAGGCTTATGAGGTTGTAAACGAAGATCCAGAAACTGCTTTCTGTACCCTTGCAAACAGGGAAGTTTTCAATACCGATGAGTGTTCAATCCAGCATTGTTTATATCAGTTCACCCGAAATGAGAAACTTCGAGATGCAAATCAATTGCTTTGTGAAGTCTGCACCCGGAGACAGTGTAATGGACCAAAGGCAAATAGCAAAGGTATTGAGATTTTCTTGAAGAAAGTAAAATTCGTGTTCCAGGCATATTTTGAATTATGTAGGTAGTGCTACCATTTAATTTGTGTCTGTCTGAATTTGGATGGCATCGTTTGATTCCATCTTCTCTGTAAGTATTTTCGTGGAGGAATGGAAGAAGCAGAACATGTTTTGAAGCGACTAGTACTTTTTAGCATTCCCACAGCAGTTCAAGTGGGACTCGTGGTTCTGTGACCCCTTGTCTGAGGTGAAGCAATCCCACTTCCATGATATCGCAGCAGGGCTCTTTCTTTGTACCCTGAGTTTCTCAGTAACATTTGTGGTGACCTTCATCTTTGCACCAGGGAGATACACTCTTATGTCGTCAGTATACATCAGTGCCAGATACTGGGAGAATCTGGGTTCTGTCCCTAACAGAACAGAAACTTAGTGATTCTTTCCTCCCTTTATGAGTTTGGATAATTTGAATAAGGAGGGATTGTGGGTGAGAATCCTAAGAAGACTAGCTTTTCATATATTTACATATGGAATTAAGTCAACTGATTTTTTTTTTTGTTAGAATTATATTGTTTTTAGAATAGGCATTAACAAGCTCTAGTTCACCCCAGATGTGACTTGTCCTCTGTTTCTGTGTATTTTCTGAGCTACACCATTTTTGTAATGATTGAATAGTTGAAACTGTTGAACAATTGAAAATAAGTTGATGGTAGAAAACATGAATTTTATACTCCAGCTTATGTTATCTCTTAAAAAATAATTTCATTGAGCTTTTCAGTAGACAGTAATTGTATTCAGTTATGATTATTATATTTTGATTTCTATCAGTAAAAATTTATTTCATATATAAGTATGTACAAAATATCACTGATTGTCACCTCTTGGTTCCAAAATCCAGAATACTTACTGTCTTGGTCCTTTTCAGAAAGTTTACTGATCCTTGATACATCTTTAATGTAGGAAATGATTTTATAGTAAACTTGAATACAAGTCTAAAATGAGATTCATACTGTTAAAATTTCTTTCTTTAGGTGAAAGAAAACATGTTTACACCAACGCCAAAAAGCAGATGCTAATTTCTCTTGCTCCTCCTGTTCTCACTCTACATTTAAAGAGATTTCAGCAGGTACCACTCTGGTTTCTTACCCAGAATTTCTCTTAAATACCTAACTTTTATCAGTGTCTTAACATACTATTGTGTTTCTTTGGTTATTTCTTAATTTTAACATCAAAAAAGTAGAAAAGTAAAAAAAATTATGTATGGTAAAGACAAATGTACAACTTGGAGGAGAAATTTAGATAAAGTCCTTCCTAGTTTCATTAGAACACGTGTTTAATACTTAGAGATCTCTCTTAGGGATTTTAGTGATTTTTATTTTCCAGTTTGCGTAAATACTTATTTTTACTAACCCTTGATAAAAAGACATTTGCATATTGATTTTCATCATTTTGGTGACCCCCGCCCTTTCTAAAAGGCTTTTTCTATAAGCAGCACATTTCAAATCCCAGAGTACCAGTAGAATGTTGCCTTCTGTGGTTGTGTGAGTCTCTGTGAATAACTTACTCAGCATGGTTCAACATGAGGCCCACACTGTGTCCTCACAGAGGAGATTCTGCTCTTGCTGAGCTTTAAGCAGACACAACCTCTGGTCTAATCTGGCTCTTCTGGGGGCTAATAGGGTGTATGTGTGGTGTGCACCTCGCAGACCAAAATATCCTCAATGAATTGGTGTTCAGGAAGGCTGAGCAAGAGCTGGATGGTGTTTTTCTGGGCATGGAGTAGGAGTAAAGTTTATGTAATAAACTTTTCAAAGGAAGAGAACTAAGTCTGTGTCCCTCTTTTTTTAGGCTGGTTTTAACCTACGCAAAGTGAACAAACACATAAAATTTCCAGAAATCTTAGATTTGGCTCCTTTCTGTACCCTTAAATGTAAGGTAGGTGAATTTGCTCTTTCTGGGAAAATCTTTTTAAGGGAAGTCAACCAAATAATTCTACCAGTAGCTACCTGTATGGAGTCAATATGTGTAGATTAGGTCTTTGTCCTTTTTATAACTTCAAGATCTGTGCAGAATCATTTTGAACAGTAGGTTGTTAATTCAACAGTTTTTTAACTCGCCCCCACCCACCCCTTTTAAGACAGATGTTGTCTAGGGAGCTGAGTACACAAAACTAGAGGTGAATCAGGTATACTAATAGATAATCCCAGTGTGATATGGCTGACCATTTAATAAGAATGCATGTTCACTGAGCAGGGATGATGTGCATTTAACCCAGTGTTGGTGTTCAGAGAAGGCTCTGTGAAGTAGAGTGTGTCTCACTAATTCTAAAAGAAGGAATGGAAGTTAGTATGAGAAGTCAAGGAGGAACACATTTTCACAGTAGAGTGAACAGGAGCAAAAAAGAGCAGTGTGAAGTGGCATGGTACGTGCTAGGGATTGGCATTGTAAGTAGTCTAGAAGTTACAGTGCAGGGTCTCAGGAGCACTGAAAGATGAAGCCAGAGGTGAGCTAGAAATGAGATTTTAGCAGATTATCATGATGAGGAATTTGGGTTTTAATAGATATATAGTAGAGAGCCAGTGAAGTGTCAGAAGCAGTGGGTGACATGGCGAGATCATCACATTACTGTCTATAAAGCATGGAGGCTAGATTTTAGGAGGAAAAGACTAGAGGCAGGGGAACCAGTTTGGAGGTTGTTGAACTAGTTCAGTGAGTAGATAGGGGCTTAAACTTGGGAGGGAGACAGGAAGACAAGGAATATTTAGGAAGGCAAAATTAACTAGATTTTTTGATCGATACCTGTAGCAGAAAATGATTGTTAGGCTGAAGAATGTAGGTGAGATGAGAGTTGGGAAAATGGACGAATTGTGAAGTCAGCCTGGAAAGTAAGTAAGCTTTGAAGCCCAGCAGTTCTAAATGTTGACCTGCTCCAAAGACAGTTGTTTGGTTGGCTAAAGTGGAATGACAGTGAAACTATTATGAGGCTTATTAACACTGAAATTCCTGAAGCTGTAAGATTTGAGGTGAAGAATGATTAAGTTCTTTAGTGATTAGGACATAGTTAGGAACAGTATTATTGAGTGCAGTGATGCTCATGCAGCAGGACTTGTAAAAGAACATCATGGGATAGTTTTCTGAAAGAGGCCCCAGCTTGGAGAATGCCTATCCCTAAAGCATACAGGATCCAAGCCAATTAGTACCTCACTCAAGAATGTGTTTCAAGTGGAGTCCCTAGGGGGCATTTAAAATGTAAGAGGTGATTTTTGGCACTACCTAAATGCTATCCTGTTCTGTTAAAGGCTTACATTTTGGGCAGGAGCTTGAGTAGTTTGTTTCTTAAAAGGTTTATTTTTGTATACAGAACTGGGCTACAGGCCAGAGGGGCAGTGTGAGGACTCAGCAGAAACAGAGTGGGGGGCAGAAAAATCAGATCAATGAACTACACATGAGAGGTCTGCAGCATCCTGTGGGTCACTTCCAGCGCCCAGGATTGAACTCGCACTGAAGTGGCTGCAACTAGCTTGCAATACTGAGTCCTAACCTGTTGCACTGCTAGGGATGGGCAATTTCGTTTTTTAAAGATTTATTTATTTTTAGAACTGGGTTGTAGGCCAGAGGTGCAGGGAATAAGAGGATTCACCAGAGACAGAGTTGGGAGAACAGGAATATCTACTGAAATATGTTGAGGGGAACAGCAGGTGAGACAGGAGAGGTCTGCTGAGCCATAAATGGGTCAGCTTCCTGGACAGGCATTGAACTTGGGCCCTAGCAATGATAATGTTGAGACTTAACCCGTAAGCCACCAGGGAGGCCCTGAATACTACTGAGGTATTTTGGAGTTATTGGGTCCCAGGACTCCTAAGAAATGGGCAAGTTCAGGTCAGTTAAAGTGGGCCAGAAAACTGCAGTAACAGCAAGTGGACTGTTTATGGTTCTTTGAAGCACAGCCATGGAGCTTTCTAATAAAAACTGATGACTCAGGAGGCTGCGAGAAAGGTCAGGAGAAAATAGTGAAGTTCAGACTCGGGAATGATTTCTGTGATTTCTGAGTTCTCAAAAAAAAAAAAGACACGGTGTAGTAAAAAAAAAAAAAGACACGGTGTAGTTTAAAAGTCTTGCCAATAATGATTGCATACATGGAGTTAGAACTCACTTTTAATTCTATTTTTAAAGAACGTTGCTGAAGAAAATACAAGGGTGCTCTATTCCTTGTACGGAGTGGTGGAGCACAGCGGCACGATGAGGTCAGGGCACTACACTGCCTACGCCAAGGCCAGGCCTGCCAACAGCCACCTCGCTAACCTTGTCCTCCATGGTGATATCCCACAAGGTGAGGTGGTTTGGAAAATTCTGGGCTTAGCAGACATGACAAACCAAAACTAATGTTTTCCTTTTGTATTTTACATTCCCTCTTGACAGACTTTGAAATGGAGTCAACCAAAGGGCAGTGGTTTCATGTGAGCGACACACACGTGCAAGCTGTGCCTGCAACTAAAGTACTAAGCTCGCAAGCTTACCTCCTGTTTTATGAGCGAATCCTCTAAGTGTCCGCCAGTGCTTTCTCTGAAAACTGTTTTTTTTAATGGCTATAATAAAGAAGACTAACTGCAAATCATGTTCACTTAAAGTTAAATACATGCCAGAAGAAACCATGTTTATTAAAATACTGAAGGGAAAACACCTAAAAACTTACAATGGTTTTGTTTTGTCATAGTAATTGTCTTGTCTGAAGCTTCTGGAAAGGATTTTGAGTAAGACTTCTGTGCTAGTATGTTTGGGTGGTGGGTTGCAACACATCAATAAATTGACTTACCCCCAAAACTTGTTTTATTACTAGAAAGATTTCAAGTTAGTGACTGTATCCAACCAGATATCATTTTAAAAATGATTCTAATGAAACCTCACTAACTTGAGCTGTTAAATGTTCATTTTGTGAGCATAGATAATTGGCAGAATGTGTGAAGTAGGAGATACATTGATCTATAATCCGTCTGATACCAGTGTACAAACACTTGCTTCCTTACAAGTGTTAACTGACCCAGGGTACTCGTATTACTGGGACACTTAAGTATTTGAGTATAGGTCCCCTATTTCAAGTACTGGCATTGTGCTCAGCAGCTTTAAGAATACCAAACCCTGCCTAAGCTTCCTCTCAGGTGCTCTAGTAGGCTATTTTTGATGTGATGAATCCTTCTTGCTATGCAGAGGAGAGATTATTACTCTTAACACTTAAGTTTAGACTGGTTAGCCATATTGTTCCCATGGTCCTTTGAAACACCAAACAGATTAAGGTTTTGAAGTGTTGTTCAAGAGACAGGTCCTCAGACCAAGAGAATGGGGGTTAGACAATGAGACTTTGATAGTAACAACATGTTTATTTTATCCAGCTGAAGATACAAACGCAAACATTTCTTAATTTAAAGAGAATATGAAACATCAGGCAATTCCTACAGTAATACTACAATACAGCCTTCACCTACAGTAAAAATTAAGTCATTCAGTCATTTTGGTCATCATCCCAGTCCTTCTTCCCACTTGGAGGTTTGGGCCCACCGGCTGGTTTTGCCATAATGATCTGCAAGAAGAAAAATAACTATAACTATCATAGAAACTCAGCTTTTAGAATGGAAAAGTAGTTTTGCACAGCCCAATCCAAAGTTAAGCAATCTATTCTATACACTGTGCATGAAACACTAGCATAAAGTTTGTCAGCTTCCAGCAGCATGAGGCTTTCCTGCTTTTGTGGACAATAATGGCACAATATCCATACGTGTTAGTGAAGACACACACACTTCAAACGCAAAATGAGCTGAATGAGAAATATTTGCATGCACATTGGTATAAATAAGTTTGGCACCTGATTGCTATCTATATATGGGGTTCATCTTGCCAAACATCTTTATCCCAATTTCCTTGTGGTTTAGGAGCTTTAGGTCCACCTGCCAGTTTTGCCATTATAATCTACAGTAGTTGACAAATAAACATGTAAAAATTAACACTTAAGTTTTCTAGTACCAATAAAGCTTTCTAGTACCACTGAAGTGGCAGGAAGTTATGTTCATGAACAAAGATCAATCCAGCCTTACATTATCTAATGCTTAAAGCTTGATTTGCAAGTACCTTCCTTGAATTTATAAAATCATCAAGTTAGCTCCACCTCTTTTTCTTTTTAAAAAGAGCACCAACTGCTTGATAAAGTTGGATATAGGTAGTACAGCTCTGATTGGCATGCAGTGCAAAGACAGAGCGTGTTACCAGTGAACACTGGTCCCCACTGGAATACTAAGCAAGCTTCCCAGTTTGAAACCAGAAGTGAGTGTTTGCCTTTCTGACCAAGGTATGTCTGTTATAACTACTGTCTTGCTTAAATAATTTACAGATTCAATCAGTTCCTAGGTTAAGGAGCCAGCTTCAATCTACTTAGCTTCTCTTGTTCCCTACTATTTTTACAACCGCCCTCACAGCCTTTTAGAATATGTATTTCCTTTAGGTTTCCCTATCTTTATTTAAAAGCTTTAAAAACATTTTCCCACTGAAAACTATGAAGACAACCTATGAATAAATCTGGTACATAAACATCCACTCTCAAATTATTTCCATAGTTGAAACTGAATATTCAGTTCCATTTTTGGTCATCTTGAGCTAGAAGAAAATTCAGAAGGATTTTAATAAGCTGAAATCTGTCTTCTTGTAATTACTACCAACAGCTCCATATTGCTAGACAAATACTAACATCCCGTCCTTTAACTTCCACCTATAATTTGCTGTTCCTCCCAAGATTAATTTGACATGACCATTTAATGAATGCATACTGTACCCTTTCTTTAATAGTTACAACTTTCCTAAGTACTGACAAATTCGTTTCTTACTAATTCTAGAAGTTTGCAGGAAATGGACTTTATTATGTTCACTAGAAAACACATCTTTGAAAAGTTACATATTCTCTTTATCTCTGAATGCAGTAATTTTCACCTTTGTCCTTTGCTTAAAAAGAGGAAAATGGGCAGAAATACTACCACCTTTAAGATCTTTTAAGGATTGCAAGACAAAAGTTATCACAATAGGAAAAAAAAAAGCAAGTATGACTCTTTACCACATTTGGTTTTACTCATTATAATTTAAACATGTCAAGTTTCTTTCACTGAAAAAGCTTTTATTTTAAACTGAATGAAATGTGTAAATACAAATTACACTAACAGAAAAAAATACCTTTGGAGAGGGACACTTAGCAACCCTAAAGTGAAAGTAAAGGAATACTCCTTTGAAGACAATGAGAATGAGCTATCTCCTAGGTCTGTTAACTACTCAATTATCCTTAAAACCGAAACAGCACTTTCACTCACCTGATCCACTCTAAGTACAGTGACAGCAGCATTAGTAGCCAGCTTGATAGCCCAATATTTTCCCAGGTAAGTATCTAGAATGCCAGCTTCCAACATGTCCTTTACAGCAGGAACTTCAGCCTGTCAACATAAAACACACATTTGTTCACTTTACGTGAAAACGTTTATACTCAGTAATGAAAATGCACAACTCCTTAGATAATACTAGAAAAACAGCAAGGCAAAATATTACTCCAGACACAAAACAAAAGGTAATGGAAATTTTCCATCAAACAATGTTAAAACTTAAAAGCTATTGTTGTGAAAAGAATTTATTTCCAAACATTTTCACAACGATTTTCTTTTGGAATTTTCTATTTCAAATTTGAGATTCCCCCTCCTCCCCAATACCTCAATATCCAATCCAACATTTTTATTTCCTTCTTGATGTACTGCATAAAGTTTAGAGATCACTTCATTGGCTTTAACACCAGAATTTTCTGCCAGTGCCCGGGGAATAGCTTCAAATGCTTCAGCAAATTTCTTAATGGCATACTGTTCAAGTCCAGGACATGTCTGAAACATAAGTGTGCTTATTATTGTACTTTATTTTATTCAAGGAACTAAAAGAAAGTCAGTTTCTACAACGTACTATACCTCTCCATATGATGTAATCTGCTTGGCTAATTCAATTTCTGTGGCTCCACCTCCAGGTACAAGACGTTTATCCTATAAGCAGTCCAAGAGAGAAAAGGGTCACAAAAAGCAGCTGCAGTTTTCTAATCCTTCCAGGTTCCAATATGTCATGCAATAAAAGCTTTTAATCAGGCTGTTACATTCAAATTAAAATTCTGTACAAACTGAGTGATTTGGGTTATTTATCTTACTGTATATTGGCTGGCACCTGAAAATGGAGGACAAAACCTGAGAATGGAAACAGCACTGCACCCTATGTCCATAAACAGAACACTTCTGAGCAGCTCAGGCAACTGGAGTTGCACTGGCACTGACACTGCCACAGGCTGTGCCTTTAATCTTCGTCCCTTTGCAGAACCTAGAAAGCTATCATATTCATCAGCAAAAGGTGCTTTGCTTTAAATAGCATTTATTTTGAAGTTCGCAGCACAGTAAGAATCTGCAAACTGCTTTTGAGGCCTTCCGCATTACTAAAGGATTGCTAATACTGACCCTTGTAAGAACTTTGAAAGTATTAACTCCATCATCGACTGCCCGTTCTATGTCATCCATCAGGTTGTCTGTAGAGCCTCGCAGCACGATGGTAGAAATGGCACCATCTTCTTTTTCTGTCAATAAATTACATATACATGAGAATTCAAGAAAGAAAATGAATACCCCACACTTAACATAAGCATTTTATGACCACATACCATGCTTAAAAACCACCACTTGTGTGTCCCCAACTTCTGAGAGGTAAACACTGTCACAATGCCCCATTTCTTCAAGGACAGGAGGAGTCTGTAAAAAAAGTAGCTCTTGTGATGCAAACAAAGTTACAGGAAGTTCTACTATCTTTTAACGCTGTCCAAAATACATACCAATCTAGGAAGAGCTGTAGCACCAACTGTTTTACACAGTCTTCTGAGATCCCATTTTGAGTTTAGCCTTTAAAATAAACAAAGACCTTAAGTTTTAATTTCACCAGGCAGCATAACTATATGCAGAGATATAGCAGGAAACTGCACTGGTCCTCAAGCCACAGACTACTGACCACATTAGTCTGAGCTCAGAATAGGCCAGGACTGCAACAGGCTGTATGGCATTAATCGGGACAGTCCAAGTCTCTAGGATGTTGAGGATTTGTACAGTTCTAAAAACACCAGGGAAGCCCAGATACACTAGAAACATCCTGCTTTACACTCTGGAACTACATATATTGTGAGGAAGTGATTCACCTAATATACTGGACTAGATGCTAAGAATAGTAGAAATAGTTAGGTTTGTACAGCGTGACCCATAAATCTGTTCCTGGGTTGGAAGTTATGTTCCTGACCTCCCTTCCACCCCCAGCTGATAATGGGCACCAGGTTTGTCTGGTCTCTCTTAAGCTGTTCCTTTTGCCTAGAATGCTTTCCCCTTCCCTTTCTAATTAAATTGTATATATATCCTTCAGTTCTCAGCTTAAATACAAATTTTCTCAAGAGATGCCTACTGTTTACCTAGAGCAAGCTAAGTCCTTTTGTATTTAGTACCTCTTCTGCTTTTTCTATCGTCTTTATGGTGTTGGAATAGTTTACAGTGTTTCCCAACAAAAAACATGCATTTACAATATAGGTCAACAGAAGGCTTCTTTCTTACCTCACTAACATGATATTGTATTTGTTAGCATAATGAAGGGCCATGTCTGCCACTTTGCCACCTGTTACTATGACATTTGCACCAGTATCAGCAATAGCTTTGACTTGTGCATCCATCAGATTTTCTTCTCCCTTACTAAAATTCATCAGTTCTTCAGCAGTCTTTATCAATACTGTT